TCTTTGTATTTTGTATCATTATACGTATTCCTACTGACACACATCTTTTTTCGAAACGTTCTTTCTAAAAAAAAAAAACAAAAAAAATAGTTTATTTGAACTTTAACTTTGGAAGCAAAAACATATGAGTTTTTCTAACAAGACATTATGTGTTCTTTTTTTATCTTCAATTACAGAACAAAATTTGGTTGCATAAATTGAAAATATTAATAGATTCGAAAAGAAACAAATTAGGTACGTACAGTTAAATTTATTAAACATTCTAATCGAGATAACTGGAAATCAATTACGATAAGAATTTTGATTGACATGATCAGAATACGAGTATATGTTGTTTCCTCCTTTTTGTTTACTCTAAAAAATATGGGCGTGGCTTTAATATCCTGTAGTGTCTATGGGTGGCATTCGTTGATTCAAAACCATCTTAAATATAGTTTTAAAATGTCACGAATCAATCAGAGGGTCGTATTAGCATCTTAAGACATTACTTAAGACGAGCTTGAAATAAGAATGGACTATGAATACTGGCCTATATAATTCTCACCGTGTTGATGTTAATATTAATATGATGTGGATTTAAATCCACATTATTTTGTCAAAATTGAGAAGGTTTATAATTGGTTACGACAAAAATTAAATTTATTAATAGAGGAGAAGATGGTATTACGGCCAGTATTGTATATTGTGGCCTCCCTTAATCTTCGTTATATAACGAATCCTAATGGGAATTACTTATGGAATTATTTGTTCAGTAGTTCGCCGTTACATCATGACGCTAATATACCAATACTCAATAGCCAACACTTATTATAACGCATTTTTACTTCCAAGTATTTTAAAACGTTTCTGAGAACATTTTAACATTTAATTACACTTACTTCCTCATTTTTCTTAAACTTGAGCGTATTATCCCATGAATATATGTATTTTTGAATATGTTATTTACTATTAACATTTTATTTAACTGTATATATTTCAAGTTATGCAAATTTAAACAATAGCATGGCATTTTGCTAATGTGGCCCTCTATGGGTATTACTCACGATTGTTTTTTTGAGGTTTTTATATCAAAATAAATATTTGATAATCGATTATAGCTCTACTGTTAATCTATAGTTTATATAATCTATAGTTTATATTACGTGTACTTTTTTTATTACTAAACAGCTTATATGCAGAAGTTATATGAATGTATTTAGTTATACAAATGCATTCATTTACATACATTTTAAAATATTTTATTTTTTTGTTAATTTTGTAATCAAATACTGTTTTCTAAACAAAACTAATATTTTAAGAGTATTTTTATGAAAGGCTACATTACCACTCATTTTTTTTTTTCGTTATTATGCAATGTCGTCACATTTTTATTAATAGTATCCTAAGTAATAAATATTTCGTAACTTTGAGTCCAAATCGATTCAACAACATTTTAACGAATGCAATTATTAAGATTTAATCTTAAATATTGATTATTAACAAAGTTATTGTATAAAATGTAACTAATATGGATGCTACAATATCATCTTCTCCTCTATATTTTTTCAAGAATTTGTTAGGTTTTTTTGTTTCAGATAAATTGTATATGAAAGCTATGTGTTTAGCGTAAACATTATTTATACAAACAAGATTGTTAATTAACAGTTGTTCCAGTGCTATTTGTTAATATTATTTAATTAAAAATTTTATATAATCTACATGTAAAATATTGATCAACTTTGAAAGTTAATAGTTTTTGAGGAAAAATTTATAAAAATAGGTATCTTTTTGATCCTTCTAAGTATCCTCCTCTCCCTTCAATTCCATGCCTATTCAACGTAGCAAAGCAATCGATGTAAATTGATCAAAATAGAATTTCGCAACACTGTTTTATAAATCTCGGTTAGGTTAGACTCTTAATGTACTCGGGGAATTACTGCGACCCCCATCTGCGCTTTCCAGGTAATCGTATCCTAAATCGTCGATCGCAGCCATAAAAACCGCCGCTTTTACGTACGAGTAATCCGGAGCGCGCTGAATTGACTCGACCTGCATAAATGAGCTCTTCGTAAATCAGTCCGACGTCTCGCGGCGCAATCTTGTTGTCATCTCCACGTTCGCGGTCGCAACGGTTCGATTTATATGTATATCGAAGTTCGCGGCCGCGCGCGAACCAATTGGCGCGCGGCGACTCGCGGCCGGCGCTCCGGCGACCAATCACGATCGCGTTCCTTCGTCGGCTCCTAGACGGACGGCAGCTAGACGAGCCGCGCTGGCTCGAACGCGTCAGTCTGTTCCGTTGTTTCGTGTGGAGAGGAGCGTTCCGCGCGGTTCACGTACTTCGCCGGGTGTTCTCGCTTCCTCGGTGATTCTCACGCGTTTCCCCGAGTTTCGTCGCGCCTCGCAGCTCGGATTTTCCCCGGTTTTTCTCGCCAAGCGACTCACGTCTCGCTTGGTAGCCAAGACAGATCTCGGATACTCCCGCGTCGTGCGTACGTGATGCGATTTGTAAATTCGACGTTCGCGAATACGCTGGAAGGAGAAAAAAAAGAGTGAAGTGGCTGCCGAGTGACGAGAAACATCACCTTGACATTGATTGCCGGCAAAGAGAGAAGGGTAAGCTAGATGTTTACTGATACTTTGGGTGCTTTCCAGCAAGGACATAGTCAGACACCGAGAATCGTTGATTTCATCTTTGTTTAACGTAGACAAACAACAAGGATGTAATGATTCACTGTGTTACACTGTGTCTGACTATGTTCTTGCTGGAAAGCACCCTCTAATTTGGAACTGTGATGTGTACGGAATATTATATATATCTCCATCTCTATCATTCTCATTCCGTATAATCTTATTATAGTATATATAAATTTGGGACGCAGTAGATTGCAAGATGTTTAAACTGAATACGTTATTCTCAGGTCTTTATAAAAAAATAAAAGAAATTGTTTCCGTTATTATGAATATACGTTTTTACTATCCCCTATTTCACGTATACATATATAATATCATTATATTTACCACAAAAATCTCATTTTAATATGAATTCATTTACAACAGAATCTTTGAATGATATGATGAATTCGATGATTTCGATGATTTCGTTGCGTTACATTAGATGAGTGAACATTAAAGGCTGATTTATATATATATATATACATATCTAAATGCAGTGGCATAATATAATCAACTTTGACAATGAAATAATAAATGTGTATTCTGTTAACTAACGTGACAATATCGTTTTTGGATATTGTTTAAAATATTTGTAAGCTTTAATATTTGACTCTATTAATTTCAAGCATCATAGCTTTTACTAATCCAGTGTAAGTCCCGAAACATAACAGATATAATAAGCCTTAAATCTTGAGAAATTGAACAACCATAATCAATTATTCATCTCACATTCGACTGTGATTGATCAATTTCTTAAGTATTAAGGCTTACTGAGCCAGAATTAGACTATGCATTGAAGATTGAAGATTGAAATTTGATCAATGAGAACAAAGAAATTTTAATTCCTTTTATTTTGATTGGCTCAATTTTTCAATCTTCAATCTCAGTCTTCAATGCATAGTCTAATACCGACTCTACATCTATTGTGTTTCAGGATTAATGCAAATGATCGAATTCGCGATCATTAAACACGGCAACAGTTTCTCGTGTTTTCCGCTTACAAACACAAACAACTAGACATTTATAATAATTATATAATTTCTTATGGTTGTTCCATCTAAATTTTACCTGTTGGGTAAATAGCAAGATTACCCAATCACAAGCGCGGATTTATCTAACAGATAAAATTTACTAAAAGGTGGAACAACTAGGTGGCACTAAGAGACACGAATAACCTGCGAACGGATCGTGTCGTAAGAAGGGACACTGAATTGTTGCCGCTGCTTTACATTTAATAAATATCAAGCAAGACAAGAGGTTTCGGTTACGATACGATGGAGGGGCGCAGAGGAATTTGTGAATGCCAAACCGGTTGTGTTGAGAAGGTCAGTTACTGCATTGGCGCTACTCTTCTGGGTTTTATTCATTTTGGTCACAGATACTTTGGAGTTCTTAGGTCACTGTTCTAAATTCTATGACCCCACACGTTCTTGAGACTCGCAGAACATTGATCGAGTTCGAACGAGTTTTTGAAATACTGTTGAACGAGAGTTTAAAAACCAATTTCTTTCGCGTTTTACTCGAATTGGTGTAATTATACGTATAAAAACCAAAGCTTGTATATTCTCATGTTGATAACGAATATAAATTTTGAATTTTACATTTATGTATTATACATAAATTTGAGCAAATTAACATTAATAATTATTCTGATTACGTTAAATGCCGCCTTAAATACAGACAGCAAAAATAAAATTGGTAAAAGTCGTCGTGCTATTAAAATTTAATACGCACGTAATTTTAATAGCAATGGTAACTTTTGCCAATTTTACTTTTGCTGTCTGTATTTAAGGTGGCATTTCATATACTTGATCGAATAATAATTACTACGAGGAATACACTGAGGAAAAAAATTATTAACTTGACTTATTAAAATATTATAAATTAATTTAGCTTGTCTATATTTCTTTCGTAGGAGTATATTATAATTTGAGTCAAGTATATTATACTTCACATTGAGGAAAAAATTATTACTATATACTAAATTAGCTTAGTTTATCTTTTTTGTTAGAAAAGGTATATATTTGAATAAAATATACTGTTCATATAAAAATAAATCTTTTTATATTGTTTATATATTATATCTGACTTAAATACATACATTCTTGTACGAAATAAATAAAGATGAACAAAACTAATTTAGTCGATTTAACAATGTTTTTTCCCCAGTGTAAGGATAGGAATGGAAGACCAACTATGAAAATAGAGTAATGAAAATAAATAGTAAAGGAAGTGTTATTTTATTAGAGTCATTTTATTAGATGCACTAAAACAACGTGGGGTGCACGAGACCTCACTGTATAAAAGCTCTCTTATGTGACGGCAAGATGTATGTGGTATTCTAGGATCAATAGAGAAAGGAAAAGAAGAGAACGAGTCCACCTAAAGAAGGGCTTCGATGGATCTCGTTTGAAGCCTCGAAGGCCAAGGCTGCCACTTACGCCAAACTGCGGGGGTGAAAGAGAACGAGGAAATCGAGTGAGATAGAAATCGGAATAGAGAAGAAAGAGATGAGCTATCTGACACGTGGGCGAACTCCGAAGACTCATAAGCTTGGGCGTCGCTAAAGAGAGAAGGAGATAGACAGGCGAGAAAGAGAGAAAGGTAGGGGATTACGTAAGGCCTCGTGCAAGAACGAGGATTGAAGGAGAACTGCCGCTTTGGAATGCAGTTCAGATTTGTAATGATTACATAGCAGTCAGCACGTTCGTAGCGTTCGACCTTTAACTTTTTCGGTAAAATTGTCGAATATGCGCATTTTTTTTAATTTTAAAAATTTTAAGAATCACAATTTACTTTTTGCACGAATAGTTTCGAAACAATTTATTGTAACATTTAATTTAATATCTGATTTTTGAATCGGTTACTAAATTAAATTTTATTTCATATGGACATATATAATTTCTCCTGTATTTAAATGTATATATGCATATGTATTTTTTATAATATTTCTCTATGTAGCAATGTTTCTACACAAACTATCTGCTGCTTTAGCAGTAACCGCCGTTAATCTTAATTGAATCTGGTTTTGCCGTGTTGCGCACAAAGCTGCAATGCAGAAAAGGAGAGCAAATTGATAATCTAGGATTAGTTAATATACGATCGACGCAAACTGGCTTAAATAGACAGTATTAATATTCCATTGATGGTTGGAAAATCCCTAGGAGTGGGACGAGAAACTGGAAGCTATAATTAGCGAGTACCTATTACTTCAAATGGTTCATCAATTAATTAACGTATTGATTTAAATACTGTTTTCTAACTTAAGTCAATTGCACTAATCATAGATATTCGTAAAATTCTTCGATTCCGAGAATAAATTGCTCGAAGCAATTATTATTAAGAAATCATTAAGCTTATTTTAAATACCATATCTTATTTTTTTTAAATAATTTTTTAAAAATAATTTAACATACTTTATGATGATTATTAATACGTTCATACATATTTACTATTAAAATGTATATATTTGCTCTCTCAAAATCTCGTTCACAAAAATTCCTTAATTTTTGCATACTTTTTAATTCAAGAGTTTACAATATATTGAATCACATACTTCTCTTAGTTAATCTTAGTAATCTCTCATATTCATCAATCAAAAATGATTCCCTACCGTCTCATCGTGTATCCGTTAACGCGGAACCAAAAATAGGGTACTCTCGAGAGATTCGTTTGCAGAGGAATATGTGCTCGTTGCGGTAGCCGCGTGTTACTTAACGTGCCAGATGTCCGCGTCACTACACGGTGCCGCATTAGCAATTTCGTGGGATTGTGAGAGGAGGACGCGAAATCCACTTGATATATCTGAAAGCCCGTCGGCCTGCAATTGCGAAGCCGCGGCGACATGACGCGCGAATTATACACCTTTATATTACGGTTCATTTCATATGGCTTTCATATACGATCACCGCGGGAGAGCTAGAGAAAAAGAGAGAGGCAAGAAGAAAGAGAGAGAGAGAGAGAGAGAGAGAGAGAGAGAGAGAGAGAGAGAAAGAGATAGTCTAGGTGGACATACAGTCTACGTGGAATTTGCACGAGTCTACTCCGTATTTGTTCGCTAGAGAGGACGGATATTCTCGGGATAATATCACGTTTAATATATCACGTATATCGTGTCGCATCGTTATCAGCGATTTAAATATTTCTCAGTCAGAAATATTTTAGCGATTGATTATTGTACTTAACGCATTGATGAGTCTATTAAGTATTTACGGCTGGTATTCATAATCGATTCTCATATTTAAGATTGTCTTTTCATATTTAAGTACAATCTTAAGATGTCACGAATCAATTCATCACAAATAGATGCCGTTAGCATCTTAAGACATTATTTAAGACAGTCTTGAAATAAGAACAGATTATGAATAGCGGCTTATGATAACCGTGCTTCCGTTTCAAATCGTCTTATTGCGTACAAAGGATGTTTACTACCTAGAAAACTTAGAGATTTCTATTTACTATTGAAAATCAGGTATTTTCAGGGAATTTTATCAGAATTCACGAAAATTTTTGGAATTTTATTTTTAAATTTGAATTCTATTTTTTTCTGAAAACATTTCTTTGATTATTTTTTCTTTATAATGCAAAATGTTGATCAAATGCAATGAATTAGCAGTAAATATCACACACACATCCGCATATATTCACGTACATTTTGATGTATTTCGCTTTTTTATTTAAAAAAATCGAGGTGACAATAGAAGACTTACAAGGAAATATACTACATTGTAAAAGTACTAACATTACCAAAAGATCATGTTTGAAATAAGAATTCTAAATGGTCAAATCTTGGCATCCTATCTATTCTGTATCCGACTTGAACTGGAACACGTTTGACCATTGTAACTTAGGTACAAAATGTCTCGAGAACGATATATTTTTGAAAAAAAAAGTTTCCCAAGTCCCAAGTACAAAATTCATAGGATCCCAAGATTTGATTATCTATTTAAAATATTTATTTTAAATGTGATATCTTTCGACCAGTAATATTAGTTTTTTTTATATCACTTTTACAATGTAGCACTCCTTTGTCAACAGAACAAAATAGCTCACATTTTAGTTAGGCATTTTGCTTATTCTACAGATTTTGCGTCTTCATTGTAGAATATACGAGCAGTAGATATAATTATGTATCATCAAACTCTGTATCTGTTATGGAATCCCTTTCTTTTACTAATTTTTAATATGTATTTCATTTTGCGTCGCTTACTCCAATTTTATTCGTTTATTTCCAAGTTACATTAAAAAATTTTATAATTTTATCTGGAATTTTGTACAAAAATACTTGAAAAATCCGGAATTTAAAAAATATTTTTTGAATTTTTTGTACAAAATTTCAATAAACATCCTGATAAAAAATTCACATAAATTGCAACAATTTTCACGTAACATCTCGCTTGACTCGTCGATTTATTACTCTCACCTCGCGTTTGTCCCCAGAGGTTTCCCATATCTAATTATTCTCCGTACGAATATCGATCGGATAAAAATTGAGTAAAATTAATTGTTACCGGGTAGAATATTAAGAATATCTACCATGCATAAATGAGACGACATATAATCGGATTCATTCTCGTTACAGGCACACGTTACAGGTGTGTATGATTTACTCGATGCACTACACTTGTCTAATTAACAGATAACATTATTGTCAAGGACAAGAAGTTACAATAAAAGTTAACGTGTACTGCTACTATTGATCTATCATGCTGGTAGCATGACGTTTGTCATATTATCTCGATACTCTTCATATCTATCTGATTTACATAGTAAATATTTAAACTATTTCTTGCAATAAGTATCTATAAGCAGTATTATCTTGCTTCCTCTCATTGATAAGAGTTTTTTCTAATAAAGCAAATATAGATATGAAAGAGGTAAGATAAACTGACTAAAGGAAATCACTTATTGTTGGTATTTATTCAGCTTTTAATTTAATCTATGTCGCTTTTATGAATTTTACAAATTTTTCTTCGAAGCAAATATCGTTAGAATTTTGTTTTGAAATAGATATTTGTTATTTCATATTTTTAAATTCTTTTACTTGTATATTAAAAAAAAAACACAGTGTTTTTAGTATGGAATTATATTTGAAATTAATAAAAAACGTAATGTTTTTAATATAGAATTTTTCGCATTGCTGTTTACTTTCAAAAATTGTTTAATTCAAGAATTATTTCATTGCTTTAAAATTATTTTGATTTTTACTTTTCATTTATTCCACTCGTAAATTGAGAAAGCGACACAATCTGTTGATGAAATATAGGCTTCTGGGTGAGATAAAGTGTTCGTACTTGAAACAGCTAAATAATTATGAACACTAATCTCTTTCTCCTCTAATGAGTCAAAATAATAACGATATACCTATTATATGTCGGTGCTGGTAATCGTTGTGTGTAAATGGACCACAACACAGGCCACTCGTCGTGCTTGTCATAAATCGTGTCGCCCCTAACTAACGTCAGCATGGAACTGTCGCACTGTATACACGCCGCGCGATAATTGAACGCACGGCGCGCAAAGTCATCGCTTTGCCTGTAAATTATTTTTTATCACACTGCACGTTGTTTCCCCGGGGATATTGCCGAGCGTGCTTCGCTCTCCGATGCTTTTCGAGGTCCGCAAGCTATCCCATCGCGTGCGTTATCGTCCGAAATATATGAGCGTGTTTCGGTAAGCTCGTTGGATCGTGTGCAATGCGCTGGATTTCGGTCATTTCTTTGTTTATGGTTCACCGAATGTCCTGCAAATTTCATTTCAGCTCGACGCATCGAAAGCATCACGCGAAGCGATTGTTTTGCGATATTAAAGAATTCTTGATTAAATTGTCGAGGATCAAATTAAATTAGCGTAGAATTTTTAACGAAATTGAATTGACTTCGAGTACTTCACTGGAAACTACAAAGGTCGCTCTCGGCGACATTTCTTGAAGTAACATTTAACATACTTCCGACTGCCGCTCGTATAAATATATTGTTCACAATTTTTTTCTGCGTTACGTTTTAATTTTTTCCACGATAATGAAGCTTTCGTCATAATATTGAAAGAGTAACCTGAGACGCAGTTCTACAAAAACAGCGGAAAGTTTTTATTAGATTAACCGTGTAAAGAACGATTGCGTAACAAAAAAGAAGAGAGAAGAAAGGGATATTTATTCTCATTAATCATTCTTCAGATAGGTTTCCGTAAAAAGCAATTATTTTGCAACGAATATTGACGATATAAAAAATATGAGAAAATATCAAGTGAATTGCATGGTTGCGATGGATGATATTTCTTGCTATCATTGTGTGTTACGTGTATAAAAGTCACGCGCTCTCGCTCAAACGATAGCGATTTACGCCTTTCATAGTGCTCGCACAATCCGAGTCACGAAGAACGATCGTCGTTACCATTCAGCCAAGCTCTGGTTCTCCATTATATCATGAACATGTCGTGGAAAATATCTTGTGGGGGTTTACGTCCATTCATCGACGATGACCAAATTGCGCATTGTGTCGTTTTATTAGCTCACCTAGATAAATAGATTACGCTCTTTACATATGTTATCGTCGTTTCAATGCGGCTTTCTACATAACAAATTATAGACGTCAACGATTGGAGAT